ATAACCAAAATGTGTATAGCGACCATGAGGGCAATCTTGATTCTTGAAAAGGGAAGATAGTGGCTTGAAATGTGTGTTGGGCACCACAGAGCTTTCATCACTTTGAAAATGTAAATAAAAGCTCACCGGGATCCTGTCGTTCCATGACGTTCAACACCTGAATAGCCGACTCCACTACCACTGCCATGTACAACACACAACGCTATCACCGAATAGCCTTACTGCCGTCATTCGATCTGCCTCTCTGGAAACTCTGTCTACAAATTCACGGGAACAGTCTTGATCTCTCAAACGACACCCTGCATATGCCTCCCCCGTTAATTGTTTAAAATATTTTCTCAGAGTTTGTAATGTAATTGTACCAAGTTACTGTGTCAAAATAAAATAACATCACATAATTGTTCTCTTATCTCTTTGATGCATATAGCACTCATAGTATATACCCTTTTATATGTATAATATTACAACCTTTTACAACTCGTTCTCAAAACGTCCACAAACCAACATGGTACTACTGGTGAAAATATTGCTGTTAAAATTCTTTTTTTTGAAAGTGTATGTGTGCGGGGTGTTTTTATTACAAAACATGGCCATTGGCTTTTTTGACGCTTAACTAAAAGGGGTGCCCATTTATTGTAGTGCGAGTGCGCGTTGTGATGAGTGAGGAGTTTTCTTTGTGCGCTGTAGTAATAATAATTTTAAAAAAAAAGGCAGGTGGCAAGGAAACTTACCTTAAATCCTTTCAAAATAAAAACGTATAGCTATGCGTTTTTATAAAATGAGCAGAGTTGCCTGCCAATTTCTTTTTAATTTTTAATTGTCAATGAAAAAACTGAATCACAAAGCAATGCTAAAAAAAGTAAAAGAAAAAGGGAAAATAATCCGATTGCATTTGTATAAAACAAAAAAATTGTTCTTTCAACAAATCTTTATAAAAAAGACTTTTCCAAGATTTGTTAGCTCTGGATTCCCTTGGCAATGTCAAATAAAGCGCCAACCTTTTTTCTTAGTAATTTAATAATGTGAGAAATTTTTCTACCCCATGAATACCTATAAAAATGTCAGCGCCTGCGTTACACTTTTTTGTATTTGGTTTTACTTTTATTTACTCTCCATATCCATTTGCATTTTCCCCATACTCATTCATTACCACATTAACGCATTAACACATTAGTTTACTTATTCACTCATTCACACACAGTCATTTGTCTATCATTTGTACTATATATTTTTAAACTTTTCCAAACAAAACACACCTTTTTATATTTTATTTAGCGTCATCCATCAATCGCCATGTCCGTCCATTCTATCGCTGAAAAACAAGAGCAGCCCGAGTTTAACTGGAACAACATTCAAAACCGGCTGCGAGATTCAGTTGTTGCTATTAAGTCTACCAGTCCTTTGACCTTTGACACGGATTCATTGGGTGTTTTCCTTGGCACTGGTTTTGTCGTTGACGCCCAAAAGGGATTAATTATCTCCAACCGCCATGTGATGAGGCCTGGCCCGTCGTACCACAAGGCCACATTTTTCAACAACGTCGAAGTGTTTTTGCAACCATTCTACTACGACCCAATGCACGACTTTTCAATCTTCCGCTACGACCCCGACGAATTAAAGTCGTTCACGCCCAATGCTATACCCCTGTCGCCTGAAAAAGCCTACAGCGGCATGGAGTTTCGTGTGGTCGGAAACAGCGCCGGCGAGAAAATGTCGGTGCATCCAGGAGAGCTCTCTCAGCTTGACCGCAACGTCCCTTATTACGGAGACTACGAATACAGCGACTACAACACCTTTTACATCCAAGCACCAACAACATCAAATTGCGGTTCCTCAGGGTCGCCTGTAGTCAATATCGAGGGACATGCCGTAGCTATCATGGCAGGTGGCAGTAAAAATACCTCAGCAAATTATTTCCTGCCTCTGTATCGCGCCGTATATGCCCTGGAGTACGCCAAGCGCGGCGAGGTCCCGCCAAGGGGAACCCTCCAAACAGTGTTCACACATATCACCCACTTGCAGGCTGAAAGACTGGGTTTAAAGCGGGATGAAGCTATTAACGAGGGTGCCCAATTCAACAACACGACCGGCCTCCTGGCTGTCAAGAAGCTGCTTCCCAATGGCCCTGCTGATGGACAGCTGCAAATTGGTGATATTCTCATTAGTATCAACGGCAAGCCAATTCCTGGGTTTGTAGAAATGGAGGAAATTATAGACGCTGCAGTAGGCAACAATGCGAGTTTGAAAGTGTTCAGCGGCAGCGCATTCAAGACAGTCTCGATTACCGTACAGGATCTTTTCGAAATTACGCCGTCTAAAATTCTCAATATCGGCGGCGCTTCTCTGCAGGATATGTCTTTCCAGCTATCCATCTGCAACTCACTGCCTATCACGGGCGTGTTTATTATTAATGACTCGCTGGGTTTCTTTCTTGACTGCATGGATTCTGGCCACTCTGTCATTGTGTCTGTGAATGGTGTCGATACTCCCAACTTGCAAGCACTCATGGATGTCTTGCAAAATATTCCGATCAGTAAACCATTTGTCATCAAGACACGCAAACTATCCGGTTTGCACAATAAAAGAGTGTTTAAAGTTAGGCATCCGGTTGTACACCCGCCAAACACAGTGGTTACTCGCAGCAGAGCAACTGGATTTTGGTCTTTTGCGCCATACTTGGCATTTTCTTCCGATGTCAAGCCCAACGACTTGGGCGAAGCTGCCGCTTTGTCTCTGAGTCCCAGCAAAAATTGCCAACTGCTTAAAGACAAGCTTGGTGCTGTTCGGACAGCGGTTCTGAAGGGTCTGGCCGAAAAAACTGCATTCGGTAAACAGCAACTATGCAGTGCTATCTCGAGTGTCGTCCGTCCTGATAAATCTTTGGATTCGAATTTGGCCAATCAAATGCCAAATGTCTTGGTCAGAAAACAGCACAAGAACGACAGTATGCACATCAAATCGACGAAAAAGGTGTACAACAACATCGTGAACATTAGGATTCAAAATCTCACTCCTGCCGATGGATCTACTACAATTAGTGCTTCTGGAAGTGGGCTTGTTGTCAACAAGACACACGGCATTATTATTTGTAGCAGAAGCCTGATGGCAAACCCCACAAGCAACATAAGCGTCACATTTGGAGGAAAAACCGAAATCCCAGCGATACAAGTATACTCACATCCGCTGTACCCAATTTCATTCCTCAAGTACAATCCGACACAGCTGGAGGCATTTTCCAAGGGTGCCAAAATTTCCACTATTCGCTTGGGCTATAGCGAAGGTACTGGCAGGCTTGATCTAGGAGCTGCGGCAGTTATCATTTCCCAAACATGTGAAGGCATCACGGAGGTCACTCCGACAACAGTTTCTAGCCGCACCTTGCTGAAAACAAATGCGTGCAACTGCTGCCCAATTCAAACATACTCCAACATTGAAATGTTCAACCTGTCTCCCAGACCATGTGCTGATACAAGCTCACTGGGAATAATTTGCAATGCCAGAGGCGTGGTGTGCGGCATGTGGGTAAATATTCCCGAATGCGGTGGGTCTGATGACCCATACGTGTTTGTCGGGCTGGACATTGAGCTCATTAAGCGCACCTTGGCAACCCTTGTGGCCCGTGTGCCACGCGATTTTGATAAGATTAGCATTCTCAACGCCGAGTTTGAACTGCGCTCGCTGGTGGATGCCAAGGCACTGGGTGTAAGTGATGAGCACATTCAGCAGACTGCAACAAGCCGCTCTCAGGAAAGCACTTCGGTAATTGCGGTAAGAAGGATTTTGAAAAACAATGTTTTGGCCAAGGTCTCACTTGAGGATGGCGATGTTATTCTCAAGCTCAACGGGCGCAAGATTGAGCATATCAATGAAATTGCTTGCTTGATCAACTGTGAATCGGCCGAATTAACAATAATGCGCGATTTAAAGGAGCTTACACTGGAAATCCCAACCATACAACTACCAAAGGTTGGCACTTACCAAGTAGTGGATTGGGCTGGAATATGTATGCAAGAGCCATGGTTGGCTGCACAACAAATTTCCAGACACGTTCCATCACAAGTGTTTGTCTTTTGCGAAACTGCGGGTTCGCCTATGGACTCAAAGGTAGAAACCAGCAGGTATTACGTTACGGAAATTGATGGCACGCCTATACAGACACTCGACGATGTTGTTTGCGTCATTCAAAGGCTCAAGGACCCTAACCTAGAGAATTTCAACCAAGCTGTGGCCAACAACAAAGCATTTTTGAGTGGCACCATTCCTGGCCGAGATGTTAAGATTCGCATGATTATGCTCAATAGTGAAGAAAAGGTCCTTACCATTCGTACGGACGACCACCACTTCCCTGCGTACCGGGTTATCAGAGGACATAATATCGACGATATGTGGAGGTACGAGATCTTGTAAACTGTTTTGTACGTTTGTATAATAAATATTCATCTATGAATGTAAATATCCCCTCAATAATTGTTTAATGTCAGGTTTGTTTTTGCTTTGTACAATGGCATACACATGATTTTATACATCAACGCTTGCCTTCAAATTTATGTTTCGACAAAAAACCAATTTTTTGGGGAAATAATTGGGCGAATAATAAAATACAATTGCGTTTTTTCCATCTCCAAGCTTTTCTGCTTCTATTATTGTTTTCAAGTAAATTAATATTTATATTATTGTAGTAACTACATACATTAAACATGCCTACACTTGAAGAACCGCGCCTTGCTTATTTGTACCTATGTGGAATAACATTTGTGCAACTCACTTCAACCACTTCTAATGTTTTGGACAATAAATTTATAAACAAGGTTGCTGCTCTCATTAATAAAAATGCCACAGATATGACCTGCGCGCTTGTTAAACAGAAGGGCACAACGGCTGCACCTAAAGCTGTAGTGTGGTGTTACATGAACAAAGAGACGGAAAACGAATTCAAGAAAGTAAAGGACGGCGAGTACCGGTTTTATCAACACAAGGTTTTTAATGTCGACTCAGAGTCGCTTTCAAGCTCATATTATGTCAACAGCCGTCGCAAAGCTAATGTTAGAAAAATTATTATATGATAGAATAAAGTAGCGTGTGCTTTTTTTGTTACTAGTCAACTCCATTTACATTAATATTTATGCTGAATAATCTTTTTGGGTCTAACCTAATTTTAAATGTATTTGTAAATGACAAAATCCAAGGGAATCGCGCAAAACAAGCATCAGTGTCCGTAAACAAGATTATAGACAAACAGGACGACTGGTACAAGAGACAGTGCGACCTACAGATTGAACAGGAAATGAGGGGATCCTTGACGCCTGAAAAACACCGATTGTTGATGAGAACTCCAATCTCAACAAACAATCCCGAATACCAAATCTGCGACAAGATGAAAATGACGGCCTGCCAAAGTGGCCACGGACAAACAAAAATGAGGACGGCAGATATGCACACTACCTATCTGGCCATGATTGACACTCTAGCTGGCAGATTGAGTCCTCAGATTTAAAAATTCTACTAACACCCTGGCGAACACTTCCACCGCCAGGCAATTAGACCCAGGTCTGGAGAATTCCCAACCTTGCCACCCTTAGAATAGTTTTTGTTATAGGGACATGTAGCCAGGTCTGCAATAGAGCCCATGATAGGCAAGGTGGCGCAATGAACAGTCAGTTTTAATCACTAACTTTATGTTTTTTACTTGTTTTATATTTGGCACAATGCATCTATTTTTCTCTCCCAACTCCACGTGATCTAGTTAAATTTGCAATAGGGTTCGCAAATTAAAGCGTTAAATGGATGGGGCAGTCACTTTTTTAAGCGCGGGAGAAATTGTATTTTTGACATAGAATTTAAAAAGAGGGCAATTATGACATTATCCCTTCCATAAATATATAAACTACAATTGCTCCAGAATATTATTTATTAAAATGTAATGTTAATATACTAGTTAGCCTTTTCAATTTTAGTTTCAATAGAAGTAAAAACAAATACTATTATTGAAATATTTGCCCATAAGCATTCCCAGTTTGCAATCTTTTGAAAAATAATCAAATTTTACCACCCTAGGCTGATCTATCATAAAGTAAACATCATTATAATTAAGTATTCCCCTACTCTCAACTAACTTCTTCAATGTAGTGTCTGGCGTACATTCATTTACAGTAAACTCTTTGGTTAATCCTTCGGCGTAATAGATAACTTTCATATCAAATGGGCTCTTGTCTTTCGGTTCCACGTATTTTACGCTCGGTATTAAGGTAAATTTTGAACGTGGTTGAACCGTGAGATGAAGAGGCAATTTGTTTTTCATTTTACATAGCTTGTCTAGCGTAGTAGCATCGGGGAGAGAACCCTTTTTGCTACCAGCTTTTGGTTTATAGATAGAAAGATGCTTGTCTTCAATAATAATTTCGTCGTCTAAAACACCGTTATATAAATCCTTGTCTGTATCAAACATGTCGTGGGCAACCTTGCAGTGCTTCTTTAATTGTAGAATGGTGTTATTTTTGCTTGCTGAAATTGGTTTATAAACGTGGGGGTTACCTAGAGCGTGGCAAATAATAGTGACAAGCACATTATTGCCGTCTGTCGGTGGAATAGAAATGAGAGTGTCTGAATAATGTAGCCTAAACATTACTTCAAATAAAAATGTTTAATAAAAGATAAGTATAGAGATGGAGTGGGAGAGAGAAAGATGAAATAGTAAAAAAAACAATTTATTTTGTACTGTTGCACAGACTGAAGATATGGAAGTGGATGTTGAGGTCGAGAATCGCGAAACAGGTTTCCACCTGCGTGCCGATTGATACGGCGCTAATTGGATCATGCAGGCATAAATTAGGGAGGCATTACATTGATGCCCAAATATGCTCCCCATTTTGCAATGCACACACATGAGCGCACATACGCGAAAACCACAGCATTGACTTGCCAAGATACTGGTCTGCTCGCAGAAGATCCAGTTTTCATCAACGGAGCGCATGATTGGCAATGTGCACAACAAAGGCGACAACGCACATATATAAGACGAGGCCGGCGCTAGTAGTATTTTAGAAACATCAGTAATAAAACCTTTTATAAAATCACCCCTACTTTTCTAACACTAGGCAACTAGTGCTCCTCACACCCCCCTATTACTATAACAGTACAGTTAAATGAACAGTTAGGCAATTGGGCAATTTTACAATTGTCGCCCATTAATTTCTTTTGTATAAAGCCAAAATCTGAGCTTTTAAGTACTCCCTCAAAAACAAATTTAGTTTCTTATTATTAGAAAAACAACTATAGAGCAAAAATACAAATACAAATATAATTAATTAACTATTTGTATTTAATTTGGAGGTTTTTAGAATTATGCTTCTCCAAATAATTTTAAAGCCTATCCTACCCGCGCACATCAAGCGCCCATAAATAGTTTTATTTATAGCCAAAATTAACAGCGGATACAATAGAGACAATGTTTAAACTGCGGTTGAAGAAGCTGCTGGAGCCGCTTAACTGGGCATCCGCAGACGACGACAGAACATGAGTCATAAATAATCCGTGGTGCGGCAATGTGCTTGATTGTCTGGAGCGCGGCCAGAAACTGGGTAGCAGAAGTCAGGGGCGCAGCGACAGTGGTCAGTACAATGGTTGGCAAAACCACTCCCAACAGTGTCCATGCTGGTGCGGACTCCAGATGCGACTGGCGGAGCGTGTACAACAAAAGCCATCAACAGGAGGATAGTGGGGATGCAGAAGTTGTACCCAGAGCAAGCAAATGACATATGGCTAGTCAAAATGCCTTTTTTCCTCAACTAAGAAAAACAGAGCGCAGAGCACACAAAGCGGCAGTTTCAGAGTCAAAACGCTGTAACAAATATACAATTGGCTGATTCTGTTGTGCGTCGTGTGAACCAGCAGCATATATACTTTTTGTGTTACCATTAATACTGAATGCTTCAAGGATATTAGCAAGTTTAAACAATTATACAAGTTGATGCTTTTAAAGGCACAAAAAAGGTACTGCGAATGTCCATTCAAACGCACATATCCAATAAACACGATTTAAAGCCTGCCACCATGTGATTGTTTTTTCAATAATTCTAAGTTTTCCCCTCGTAGTTTTTGGAAAAAATGGCAAATTTCTCACAATAGCGCAGTAAGGAAAAAGGCAATAATTGGGTGGATATCAATATTTATGCAATAACTGTTGGAATATAGGAAGCTTTCTATGAACGTGTAGTGTTGGAATATAGGACGTTCTATGAACGTGTAGATAAAGTATAATGCTATAAAGTATATTTAATAACTAAAGTGATATGCACTGTGTGAGGTAAAGAGAAGAGAGCATATTGCTCTGGTCACTGTGTGACTTATTGTTTGTGTGGCTAAACAGCCAAGGCTGGTTAATCAGTTGATCGCCATCAACCAATAATAACTGACTTGGTCAAAAACTATGGCGCTAAAAAGATGGTTCTGGTGCTGAACACCATACTGGTCCTGTTGCGGCTATTCTATCAGCCATAGTTCTGCGGGTTCTGAGCACCGCGTTGACTATAATAATACTTTGATATTTTCCAGTCCTGGCTTTGCTGCTTAAGGCAAAAACCACAGCTGTATAGCTGCCGCTTGAATAATGTACTATAAATCTGGGCCTTCAAAAGTTGTGGTTTGATGCAAGTACTGCACTTATCCCTCTGGTTGTTAAATTATTGGCAGTCATTGGCACACTACAAAAATAATGAAACTATATATTTTCCAAATATCATGTATGCACAAATGTGCAAATGATCTGACAGAATGGATAACAGTACTGCCTCTGTGCTGAGTCATATGTACGAGCTATAACTCCGCTAGCTGCTTATAACCTTGGTAATTGTTACTGAATGTTTGTCGAACGTAGTTTTATAAATTATTTGTAAATACTGGTTACTTTGATCTTTTTGGATCATGTGTTTTATTATAATTTATTAATAGGTAATAAAGGTATAAATAAAGCTAAAGAAACTAATATCATCTCACCAGCAGATGTATGGGTTTAGCCCGCATATGCTGGTTAAAAAATGTGTTTGGATTTTGTGCATCCAGTACATCCTACGTAAATATATTTTATTATTTTGCTTAGAAGCTCCAAATGTGGCAGCCAATAATTAATTAATTAATGTATTTATAAACATACTATTACTTTGACCATTCAGTTTTTGTCTCGAATGAAAAAATAACATTAATACAATCACCTTTTTTCATGATCGATCCCAATTTACTTTCTTTGTAGTGGAAAGTGATTTTTTTTGTGTCAATATGGAGCACTAAAAAATATGCATTTATTTTATCAGTTATTGTTACATGTTTAAGCAGATTCTCCAGTGTAGTGTTTTCTGTACAATTCGGTATAGATTTGGGTTTAGTTTCTCCCATATTAGTATAAGCAACAGTTACAATAAAAGGTCGTTCGTTCTGGAATCTCGTTGATTCTACAGGCAGCCTTAAATGCTGAATTGGACGTGGTTGAATCATAAAATAAAGGGTCAGATTATTTTTATTTTTACTTAGCTCACCTATGGTAATGTTGTCGCAAAGGGAACCAAATTTGGTGCGTTTTTGGTTTATGGACGGAGAAATGCTTATCACTAATCGATATCTTGCCTGCAGTAGCGCCGCCGTTAATATCATTAATTGGAGAAGGCGCTTTATAATATAGTTTGCATATAACATTATTATTCTTTATATCTAAGATGGTAGTACCCCTGGATTCTGTGAAGATGTGTGGATCTAGGACTTTTCCTACAATGTAGCCTATTATTTTGATTGACACAGTATCAGAAGTCACTATCGATTTACGGCGATTGAGAGTAACTAAATTCCGTAGAGTAGACATGGTTATAAAAATTATCTATTTAATAATAACAATAGTATTTGAGATGAAAAGCTGAAAGTTGAGAAAATAAGAGGAAAAACCACCATTTAAATGTTTTGTATCGTTGAATATTTTAGAAAAATTTTACTCCTATGTTTTGTGAGGAGGCAGTTTAATATAAAAATATGTGCAAAAAATTGTCTGCAGAATGCCTTTGTGTAAAACCAAAGAAATACTTTATGCTTTTTCGAGTACTCTATTCAAAATCCCAAAAAGAAAATCGTATATTGTAAAAATAAAAGAACTAAAAATAGATAAATCCAAAAATAAAAACGAAACCACCACTCCCATTTATTAAATTATTAAATTATCTTTTTGTGGATTTTTCGGCAACCAACTTCTCCGAGTACTCCCAAAGTTTATCCTGCTCGCGCACATCCCTCGCTCTCGGATGCATCTCCATAATCAGCCCCCTATTATAAAACTTTCCACTGCCAACACCATCTCCCAGGGCCAGCATAACCGACGTAACCGCCCCAGCAACCTCATCAAGCATAACCACAGACTCCACCATTTTAATAACCCCAACCGTCCCACTCACATGCCGATACAGCGGGGTGACCACCGTACCTGGATGCAGCGAATTAACCGAAACCCCAGACCCTTCAAGCTTGCGCGCCAAGGTCGCGGCAAAAGTCATATTTGCCAGTTTCGAT